CGAAAAACCATACCACGGGTTGACCCAAGCCTTGTGAGTGAAATTGTGAACGCGCTCTGTTACTTACAACATCAGTATACTACACTATGTAAAGAATAAACAAAAACTTCAAATTCTCGTGACCCTCTATATCAAAAGCAAGCAACCCACACTGAACAAAATTTATTACGAATATAGTAGCAATGTTTTAAATTGCATATGACCAACATCTAATGCCATTTGCATTTTTACCAACTCTGGTTAGATCCCTTATACTGCATATTAAGTTGGTCTTCGCAATTCACCCCTGATGATGGTCCTGGAGAAGATCGAAAGTACTACATGAAGGTAAGGGCCGTAGACTCTGTAAAGCCAAGTACTCGGGTTAACAGAAACTACGGCGCCTTCATTCACCAACTTCAGCTTACAATCAAGAAGCTAATTAGAGAACTAGAAAAGATTATTATAAAACTAGATATCAGGTAGTCAGCTGTGTGCCACGCGTGATACACGCTTAGGTGATCATGTATCTTTCGAGACATTACTGACGAGGCAGATTTTTTCCCGCAGTAGGTTGCCATTTCTTTCTGCGATACATCAATTGCCGGTCTGTCCTGCTATTTACTCATAGCCTGATCTGGGTGAAGAAGAAGAGGATTCATATCTTTCCCAAGGGTATTAGTACATAAGTGAATGCATTGGATTTGACTGAAATTCGAACTCAGCTATCCGATTCCTCAATCCGAGTCGCCATTCATTACGCCACCGTGCCGCCATAATATATCTATATTATCCAATAAAATATACTTGAATGAAGATATGCTGCCAAAATGCATACATATATATACTCTCACACACACACGTACACACACACAAGTCTATGTATAAACTTATGTGCGTGTGTGTACAAACTCACACAAGATAAATATATATTTATAATATAAATATATTTTACAGTCTTAATTTCGAAAAAAGTATTCAATCGACATAAAATGTCTATTGTTTTCAATAGTATTTGCCGTAATGAAAATTTGATGCTTAAATACACAGAATATATATATATATATATATATATATATATATATGTGTGTGTGTGTGTGTGTGTGTGTGTGTGTGTACGTATATATATATTCTCTTTGTGTTCAAATGTATATAATGTGTGTGCATGTGTATTTGCGCGTGTAGCTTTGCATTCACAATGACATAAGTGAAATCGGAGATAGGCGTTGCCCTTAAAGGAGAAGAAAAACATTAACGATTGTTATTTCTTGTTTTTTAGGATGACATTTTTCCCACTTTTGTTTTACAGCTCCTGCAAAGAGGATTTTTTGTGTACCTTTCTTTGCTATCTCCATTAAAAATGTCAATTCCTTATCTGTATATATAGTTCTATTAATAGGTATACACACACACACACACACACACACACACATACACACACACACACACACACACACACACACAAATATATATATATATATATATATATATATATATATATATATATATATATATATGTATATGCTTCATATCTCTAAATGGATTTTCAAAGGTGATCAGTTTTTTCTAAAAAATTATTTTCTATTTGTACTTGTATTGGAAATTTGTATAACTCCTGCGTTTCATTCTTAAATCGGCTTCAAGCACTTTCCCATCTTCCTAACGTAGCTTCCCCGTTCGTTTTGTACAAATATTTTTATGCAAATTCTTCTGATGACCTTTCCTCGACTTCATGAATTACTAGATTAGCAGTTAGGTCTCAGAATTTTACTGCTGAATGAAGTTATTTTCTAATAATTTCTTCTCGCACATTTCTCGCATGTAGAACTTTCTTCCAGCATTTTGCTTATCTGTCAACGACGATGTTTAAAATTTTAAGTGCAATTCAATCGTCATCTTCTGTCTCCTTGAATCCTATTCTTTTTCATTGCACTTTCTCTCCAGTAACGTTTTCTCAATTTCCTTTTATCTCAGTAAACCCATTTAGTTTTAGTGACTTTATCGAACTTTCTGGAGGGGAATGAGAAAATTAAAAAAAAAATCCATAAAATATAAAAATATAAAAAATATTCAATAAATAAAATCTAAATTCTGTTGATAACTACAATGACAGACTACGGACTTAGTGACTCATTCTCGTAATCCGTGTTCGGATTTTTACAAACGCATGAAATAAATAACAAACACGAGATTTGAACAATTGTCACAATACTTAGATGCTTGTCCTCTCACTTTAAATGGTCTATCCGTGCGCATAGCAAATGATTCTGTTAAAAACTCTATGAATAAATGCATTCTTTTTAAGCAACCCAGTCATCCGTCATTTTTTTGTAGATCCCTCCGCCCGTTGTAAATATCATATTATTTCTTATAACAGCTGCCCAAGTGTCTTATACTTTATTACAGGTTCCTCATTAGAAAACGTTTTTCTCTTGCTTTTTTTTTTCATATCTTAGCAAAGCACAAAGTAAGAAATAAAATCGGAAGAGGAAGACAAAAGATTTTGTTGTCGAAACAATTTCGCGTTTCTGCAGGTACCGAGGGATAAAAACAAAGATAGAATAATTTGTGGGGAACTGGTTTTCTCAGTTATTATTATCTTTAAGAAAGCAAGAAAGAAAGAAAGAAAGAAAGAAGGAAAGAAAGAAAGAAAGAAAGAAAGAAAGAAAGAGAGCAAGCAAGAAAGAAAGAAGGAAGGAAAGAAAGAAAGAAAGAGAGCAAGCAAGAAAGAAAGAAGGAAGGAAAGAAAGAAAGAAAGAAAGAGAGCAAGCAAGAAAGAAAGAAGGAAGGAAAGAAAGAAAGAAAGCGAGCAAGCAAGAAAGAAAGAACGAAGGAAAGAAAGAAAGAAGGAAAGAAAGCAAGAAAGAACGAAGGAAAGAAAGAAAGAAGGAAAAAAAGAAAGAAGGAAGGAAGGAAGGAAAGAAAGAAGGAAAAAAGAAAGAAGGAAGGAAGGAAAGAAAGAAAAAAAGAAAGAAGGAAAGAAAGAAAGAAGGAAGGAAGGAAAGAAAGAAAGAAAGAAAGAAAGCAAGAAAGAAAGAAGGAAAGAAAGAAAGAAAGAAAGAGAGCAAGCAAGAAAGAAAGAAGGAAGGAAAGAAAGAAAGCAAGCAAGAAAGAAAGAAGGAAAGAAAGAAAGAAAGAAAGAAAGAAAGAAGGAAAGAAAGAAAGAAGGAAGGAAGGAAAGAAGGAAAGAAAGAAAGAAAGAAAGCAAAAAAGAAAGAAGGAAAGAAAGAAAGAAAGAAAGAAGGAAAGAAAGAAAGAAGGAAGGAAGGAAAGAAGGAAAGAAAGAAAGAACGAAGGAAAGAAAGAAAGAAGGAAAGAAAGCAAGAAAGAACGAAGGAAAGAAAGAAAGAAGGAAAAAAAGAAAGAAGGAAGGAAGGAAAGAAAGAAGGAAAAAAGAAAGAAGGAAGGAAGGAAAGAAAGAAAAAAAGAAAGAAAGAAGGAAAGAAAGAAAGAAGGAAGGAAGGAAAGAAGGAAAGAAAGAAAGAAAGAAAGCAAGAAAGAAAGAAGGAAAGAAAGAAAGAAAGGACGGACCTTTCCTCAATTGTTGGGATGATACCTGGTTGGAAATTTTAGTTTTTTTTTAAAGTGTTTGAATCATTTAACTTCGGATAAACAAACGCAAAACTCAAGGGTAGCTACAAAAAAAAACAAAAAACAAAAAAAAAAAAAACAACAACAACAAAAAAACATCGTTATATCTTCTATGTACCTTCAGGATGTAGCCGATAATGGTTCTCCCCAACTTTCTGTCTTTTACAGCCTTTAGTAAGTTTTATCGTTTCACCATGCTTTTCAGGGCCTGCTTTGTCATTCAGTCGAACAAGCATGTTAAGTAGGTTAAGTGCTGAGTTCCTCTGTGTCTCTTGTCCTGTGAGTATCAAATTCTCCAAGTCGTCTTTCCTCATTACGTGTAATAGAAATTTTAACTGTCTCTTTCTGGTTTTAAGTATAAACGTCGTTTTTGTTTTCATTTTCTTTAAATTTTGCTCATTACTCACATATTCAGTCCATGGTATTCTTAGTATCCTTCTGTAGAACGACATTTCCGTTGCTTCAAGTCTCTACTTTATCTGTGAGGAGATTGTCCACTAGTCTCTGTTACATAGGAGGACCGATATTACATAAAAGATCCGCAGTGTTTCTTATTACTTTGCTTAACTTTTGGAAAGCATATTTCGCTATTCTAAATACTCCTTCGGATTTCAGTGCCACATTTTCCATCCTCTGTTAAAACACTTTTCAGATATTTGAATTTTTGTACTTGCTTTATTTTTTTTTATTATCTCTAATACGTTGTTTGCATCTTGGGCTATTCGTCTTACTGACAACCATACATTCTGCCTTACAATTGATGTTTAGTCCTTTCTTCTCACTTTCTTTTATTACCTTCTGTATATTTTCCTGCAGTTTCCTTTTTGTATGTGCTATAAAAGCAACAGTAAATTAATAAAATATATTTTCTTCTTAATTTTAGATATTTGTACACCAGGGAAAATTGTATTATTTAACAAAGTCTATTATTTGCATTATTTGCACTCGGACTATTGTCTTTATCTTTGTTGTTTTACAACACTTCGGTCGTTGTCAGATGCTTATCGATCCGAGTAACCTTCAACGAATTTCGAACTGAACCTATTATTTAACCTATGGATGTAGATCTTACCCATTACGCTGTCCTTATCGAGGGATATGTTAGTTAGTTCTTATGTAGTAATGCATTGTTACTTCTCATCTTGATCCCACTGTCTGTACTACCCGGTTCACAATTACCATGTTACCAAATTCACGAAATCAATGTTTTAATCTACTAGGCGTAGGGCACAAGGAGAGAAACGTTGAGATAATCATAAGAAAGATAAGGATAATAGTTCGAGTGAAAATAAATGATAATTCTTCATTCCAGAAATTCAAACAGTAATTAATAAAATCCAAGTTGCGACAACAATTTTCTGGAGATAGCGGCCATATAAAGTCAAAATAAAATTCACAAAATTGAGTTTAGTGGGACCAGCCGAAATTTTATTTGAACCTCATGGAATTTTATGTAAACTTCTTGACGTGTTGTTGCCAGGAAAGTTTAAAAATTCAAAATATCAAATGTAATCGATTAAAAATGGCGCTCATCCGTATCTATGATTACATGTTTTGAACAAAATATACAGATAAAGACAAAATATACAGAAAAAACAAAAAAAAAAAAAAAAAAACAAAAAAGATAAAAAGGAAACGGAATATCTTTAAAATCCCAGTAGATTACCAACCGATCCATGATAAGTACTCACTTCTGTTTGTGATAAAATAACCCAAGATTTTAATTTCGTTAGGTATTATTTTTACAGATGTCTGCTTTGTAGACGTTCCTCTAGGCTTACCAACTTTCATTTCCGCCATTTTTAGCCCCCACTTCTGTTTTATTTGTTAAGTAGAACTTTTTTTCCATTTCTTTGTTATGCAGATTGTTTTTTTTCTTTCAATTCACTTTTTGATATTTTCCTTCTGAATTCCTCTTTTTTTTCTCTTTTCTTTCCTTTCTTTCTATTTCCATCTCTGTCGCTTTTCTTGACTTCTTTCTTCCTTTTAATAAGGAAAGGTTCGCTCACTTCTCTATCATAGCATACTTTTTTTCTATTCTTACCTGCAGTGTTATCTGCTTGAAACATGGGACAATTTACCGCATCGTTTCTTAGCAAAAGAAAAAAGAGCCAAAATAATCTCTGGTCATCTTATTTTATTATTTCAGATTCTTTTTCTGGTTAAAATACTCTTTAGAATCAGCTAAAACTGAGAAAAACCAGATGAAGTCTTACCAAAATTTTGAAAGCTTCAACCGTTTTCCAAATGGGTCTGCCCAGGTGCATCATGTTTGTACTCCATGTCCCATTCTTCGCAGAACTTGGTTCATGGAAAAAAAAACTGAATTTCGTGCGGCAAAAAATAAAAAAATTAAATAAAACAAATAAAAAAAAATAAAAAAATAACTAATAAAAACAAAGAAATCGAGAAAAGATGGTGAGAGAAAGAGAACAGAGAAGGCGGGCAGTGATAAGAGGAAGAAAGGCAGAAAAAAGAGGAAGAAAGGCAGAAATAAATGAAGCGTGTCCGAAGTCTGATTGATTATCGGCACAGAAATTGGCGAATCAACTTCAAGTTCTGGTTTAGTCAATTCCATTCACTTTCGTACTAAAGCCCCTGGGAAAAGCATGAACTCATTTCTTATCCTTCAAGCTATGTATTAAATAGTATGGTAAACTCGGCTCTGTAATCTTGTTTGGCAGTCAGTCTGAACCTAAAGAAGTCAACGAGAAACCACTACTATCTTTCCCCAAAAATCATGACAAGTCACATAGCTCCATGTCCCATAGTCTTGACATTAAAAAATTAAAGCAAATATATAGATAGATTGGTTCAAAAAGAAAGACTGGAAAAAAAAATGGAAATTGAGCGGACGTCTGTTGGAACTTTCGTGCTTTGAAAGGGAGAGGTTTCAAAAAATCTCATAAAAAAATTAAAAAAACAAATAAAAAAAATAAAAAAACATAACTAATTGGAGAAAACAAAGAAATCGAGAAAAGATGGTGAAATATCACTTAGAGATATTGAAACAGAAACAGTTGGAGATTTGGTTGTTATCTTTTTCTGAGGAGAATAAAAGAACATCGAGCAAAGTAAGTTAAACATGTGAATGTTTAGCTAGTATCATTCACAAGTAAAGTTTAATCGAATGTAGAGGGCTTTACAAGAAAATTGGCAGGAGAGAAAGGCAGTTGGGATAATAAATGTAGTATCTGTGTCCGAAGTTCTGATTCCCATGCATTATTGCGGACATCTGTTACGTATCGTTGGTATGACCGGCTATGAATCGAACCAGCTTCAAGTTCAGTGGCCCGAGGAAACACTCGGGTCCCTTAAAAACCGACCTTGTGTCAATTCCATTCATAGCACATTGCAGGAACATCAGAAGGTAATAAAAAAAAGCTAAACATCAATTGTAAGGGAAATGGTTGTCATAAGAAATAGCTCAAACTACGTTCTTTTGTATCATTTCCTAAAAAAGCTATGTATTAAAACGAGTATATTTGCCAAATTAATCCAACTATATCATTCTGTAATATATTTTCAAAGTTTCCTGTTGTATATAAACCTAAAATTTAATTGTAAAGTCTGAACCTGAGAAATGAAATAAGATGTAATGTTTATTCACCTTTACCGTAGGCGCTAAGAATCCACTAACTAATTGGAGGAAATTTCCCCAAAAAGCAGATGTTTATCCCTTGACAATATTTCTAAAGTTTTCTCATTCTTACATTTACATTATTGCATTGACAGAAAATAGATAATAAATTCGATTAACTTTCATCATATAAAGATATGTTGATTTTCTAATCGTAGCTTAGACGTGGCACAAAGCCGAAAGTATATGTATTCAATCGTAATTGATCTAGTGAAGTTAGACCCCATCATCTAAAGACATTAATAAATTTAAATATGTAAACTGCAAATTAAAGAGACCCAAAGCCAGCACCCAAACTAATACGATCCGAATGATTGTGAAATAGAAATATATGAAAAGTGTTAAAAGGAGAAATTTAATGAAGAAACACTGAATTGAAATTTTTCCCAAATGAAGGGGTTGGTTCCGAGACGAGCCCAAGTTTTCTCAGAGTAGAAATTTTTTCAATTAACTGGCAGAGAAAATGGCATTGGTTACAATATTTCCGCAATGTTACAGAGAGGTTGCAAAAACTATTTTAGCAGACTTCCCAAATCTGAGAATGCTATCTTGTAACGTTGAAAATACGTTACCTTGAAAAATCAAGTTTATAATAAATTTATTTATATAATATATATATATATATATATATATATATATATGTGTGTGTGTGTGTGTGTATGTTGAGGTGACATATCACCTGGTTAATAAGTAAAAATGTTTTTACATGAAATTAATGTACTGATTTCATCTATACCCTTTCGTTTGACTTTGTTTTACTGACCAACTTATCTAATCTATTTTATAAACTATATGAAGCATACGTGGACTATTTTTTTTTAATTATATACAAAAAATTCGGTATTATAGATTTCTATTTTGCATATTTTAGTGTTTGGCGCTTTTTCATGTCGACAGTATGGGATCGTATGTCATCAATGGTTGATAAATTCAACCTGCAAAGATGCCGTTTTACGTTTGTGCTCTAAGTTAAAAGTCTTATCACCCTTACAAAAATAGATTCAAAAGCCTGGTAGAAGTTTAGAGCAATTATTTCTTCACATAAAAAGAATACTGACCGTTTAGAAAATTCTGGCGTGATATATAAAAGGTTTTTACCTATAACTCATTAATGCCACTTGTCTTTTTGAGGAATAGTAGACACTAATGGTTTATGTTCTATTAATGCTACTGTCCCCTTTAATGTTTCCTTATTCGTCATTCGGATGTGCGGGTGGTGTAATGGATAGCGGCCTGGAAGGAGAAAGTCGAGAGCAGAGTTCGACTTCTAGTCAAGATCGTTACACAAAAGCCCTTGGGTAGGTTATGAATCCATCACTTTTCTTCCCTCCAATTCTTTCCCAGCTATGGGTTAAATAGTAGGATATGTATGTGGAAATATGCATCCATATCGTAGGCGGCGGGTCGACCGACAGACAACGTCGAGACATTGTGGGTGAACCTGCGACGGCATGCACCGCGCGTATGGGCAAGAAACTTTGTTTTGACACCTAGGCCTCTCCGGCTGAAAGCGAACGGATTTGCGGAGTTTGCTGTCCATTCGATGGTGGCGTGGCGTTGTGACGATCACTCGCTTGTCACAGAACACTAATCGTGCGAGCGTTCCTATTCTGTTCCCAACTGAATTCTTCACACGACATTCTCTCAAGAACAGCCACACTTCCCGGAGAGGATGCGTAGCGGGTAGAATTACTGATCCGACGTCGGCGGTTTACTATCTCGCTCGAAAGGGTAACGATCCTTCCGCAAGTCCCCTACGGAAACCTTATCATGAACTTTTACTCCCTCTAAACGATCGGGTTCGGTCGTCTTCGCCAGAAGAGGCGAGGACGTCACGAGCGCATCACGGAGACGGCCGTTTCGCACGTGCACACGCTGACCGGCGGCGTTGTGGATCAGATTCGAGGACTTAGCTTAAAAAAAAAAAGAATAATTGACTCAGAAATATTCTACTTTATAGTATAATAGGATACTGAAAACCTAGTAGAGCCTAGTAGTATCAATGGTTGATATATTCAACCTGCAAAGATACCGTTTTACGTTTGTGCTCTAAGTTAAAAGGCGTATGACCCTTACAAAAATAGATTCAAAAGCCTGGGAGAGGTTTAGAGCAATTATCTCTTCACATAAAAAGAATGCTGACCGTTTGGAAATTTTCTTAAGCCTGGCGTGAATTTGAATTTATCTAAAAGAAAAATAACTGCTACTATTAACCAGCTGAAGTTAGGTAACAGGAAGGATATTAAAGATAAATCTTGCAATGCTTGTTTGCTTTGTTAACAGTGCTTGACGCGTCAATCTTGCCATTACGCAGTACAAATGAAAAGTTGTACAGTGATAGTTGCAATATACATTTTTAAAGATTTGGAGGAGAATATCTACACTCTTTTAATTACACCATGAACGAATATTTGCGTAAAGATAAAGAAACACTATTTCATCACAAAGGAAATGCTGTCCCAAACGAGCTACTATAACTTCAAACCGCTGCCATACAACAGTAAATTTTGATAAATATAAACTAATTCAAACACTATTCAATTATTGTATAATACACCATCTGATGTTATACGTTTTGTTGATGCAATGGCATCTTTGTGTCTGATGCTACCGTAAGAAATCCTTTTTACAAAAGGAGACTATATATGCCTTTACAGGAAAAAAAACTCCTTTTGAGCAGTAAATGGGATTACCAATTAGAAATCTGAGAAGACAATGTTATGATAATGGGAATAACATGGATGGCAAAGAAAAAGGCATATACAAGATGGTCCTGGACATAAACCCTCGTGTTTTATTTTATACCCTACCATGTACATGCTTTAAACTTGAGAGTCAACGATATTGCTTGGTGCTGTCTGGAAGTAACTACTTTCTTCTTTTTCTTTTAAAAGATCTTTCATTACATCTCTATGTCGACTAAGCATTGGAAAATTCTTGCTTGCTTTAGTTCAGACTTAACTGTTAATCTATTGATTGAAACTAGATGGAAAGATCGGATCGACGCTTTGAAATCACTCTCGTGATATATGCGACGCTTTAAGAGAAATCTGTAATTATATAATATCAATCGGTTCTCTTAAAATACATTTTGAATTGAAACTAAAACCCCCTGTTAATGCAGTTAGAAGGTTCAGTTTGTGGAGTCTTATTGTTACATGATAAAATTCACTGTGTCGTGAAATACAATTTTATCTCGTGAATTTATCTTACATATCTATAAGTTTACCATTCGTCCTTACTTTGAATATTACAGCCACATATGGTCCTCCTGCTGTATATTTTAAGATTCTTGACAAAATCCAAAGAAAAATCAGCAATATTATAGATCCTGAACTAGCATTTCAGCTTCAGACACTTTCTCACCACTGTAATGTAGCTACCCTGTGCCTTTTTTTGTAAATACTTACATGGCAATTGTTCAGTTGAACTCTTCGCTATTTTACAAACACTATGGATTTAAACGCAGTACTAGATTGGTGGCAAGGTATCTTCAGTTTACAGTTGAATTGGCTAGATGCAACCGTAAGTTCTATACTATCAGTTTCTTTTCTCGCACTTCTCGCTTGTGGAACTCTCTTTCGGCTCCATGTTTTCCAGCCAACTTCGATCTTCAAAAATTTAAATGCAGTGTCAATCGTTGTCTTCTGTCTTCTTGATTACTCTTCTTCAATTGTTCTCGTTCATTAATAATGTTTCTCGTTTTTCTTAATCTTTCACATTCAGTAATCCCTTGTGTCTTAGTGGTTTTACTACCTTGCATGGGGTGATATAATTAAAAAAATATCACAAGCAAGGAAACTGATTTAAATGCAATTACAAAACAATTGCAAATGGCTAACAATTATTTTGTTGACTGTAGGTGTGATGAGCTTTTGACATATGCTAATGAGTAATCAAGGGTAAATCGTTATCTATCGTCCTTATCCACATAATTTTCACTTCATAGCACCTCCTCTTGCATCCCACGCCGCATTCAATAACCCTCTATCACGAGTGACTCGAGCCTTGTAAGACAAAATTTAGTATAAAAATCTCTGGGTATTTGGCAATCACTTTCTTGGCGCTGTATGCATAGAGGAAACTGAAGCTGCACAGTGAATACTTACTATATACATATGTCTTGGACTTATTAAGTCTTTTCTAATCGTATGTTTAAGAAACTTGTGAAATGAAACGTTACTTAAAACCCATCTGATTCCCTGGCAGTTATAAGTTTAATATTTGGGTCTGGTAGTGCAAAAAAGTTAAAAATTTAGTTAATTGCAACAAACAAGCAAGCTACTCAAATGACAAACATATAATATTAACTGATACGAGTTATCTCCCCTATGTATGGAAGGCAGGATGAGAACAATCTAGCTCCGTAGTTTGAATAAACTGCTCCGATCAAAATGACAAAAAGTTTACCGAGTAGAAAAGACACCTGAAGAGAGCAGGTATGTACATGTGTCGAAACGTTGTTCGTATATCAATCAAGATGAGTTTCTTTGTCTGAATATAAAAGCATGTAATTATAATTCCTCAAAAATTTTGAGAAAAGTTTGATGACATTATTTTTAGATGTATGGAAGAAACGGAAGATGTTAATTTCAAAGAATATAAAAAGAAAAAGAAAACAAAATTATTTTTTTTCTGAAAGTTCTTTTATATGTATAAAATTTCGTTGCTAAACGTTTTGATAAAAATGTAAATACAGTAAATCTTATTGACATTAAAAAACAGTTTTATTTGAAAAAGAAATAAATATAAGCTGGTGCTTGAAATTCTTCTTCTTCTTCCCTTTCCTCTTCTTCTTCGTTATTATAAATAATCTTTTAATTTTGCTTTTGTTGTTCTTTTTGTTCTTTTCTTTATTTGTTTTCTTGCTTTTGTTCTTCTTCTCCTCCATCTTCTTGTTATTTTTTTCCTTTTTCTTCTTCTTCTTTTTCTCATCTTCTTTCTCTCTTCCTCCTTTTCTTTCCTCTCCTCCTCCTCCTCCACTATATTTTACTTATCGTCCTATACTTTGCACTATATTTCTCTGTGAGCTGTTCCTTCAAGACATGCTCAATCTCTTTGTCCTTTGCAGCTCTTAACATTGTTTGTATTTTGTCATCTCTCCTAATCCCTGTTCTGCCAACCATTTACACAAGCCACTTAGGTAGTTTATTCGCTGCTTTTCCCCAGTCCCTCTTGCCTTCATTATGCCCTGTGAGTGTCAAATTTTCTAAACGCTCCTTCCTCATTCGTAGTTGGTCATATGTTTAATCGATTGGATTCCCAGTATCCTTCTGTAGCACCACATTTGTGTTACTCCAAGTTCTTACTTCATTTGGGGTTGAGATGGTCGAGTATTTCATAACAGTACAGTACTCTTTTTGTGTCTAACGAAATTTTCCTATCTCTTAATACTTTGCTTAACTCAGGAAGATATCTTTCGCTATTCCAATGGTTTCTCCAATTCATAGTTCGAATCTTCGATTGTTTATTTTGCTGACAAGCGTAGATTCTCTCTTCTTACAATTTATGTTTTGTCCTTTTCGCTTTCCTTTACTCCATCCCATGGGAGTTCCTGTATTCTCGAGCATACACCTGCATATCGTATATTGTTAAGATGGTGGTCGCCAATAATGAACTCTAGTAGGACTTCTAATCCTCTCGGGATCGGTTCACTGTAAAGATTGAATAGGTTCGATGATAAGATACTTCCTTGCCTTTTTTGTGTATTTACTGAATTCATTTTCTATCTGCACGCAGGCGGTTCGCTCCCAATATAAATTCTGGATTATTCTAACATCCTTCCCAAATAAATCCAACTTACCTAGCAGTACAGACAGTTCTTTGTGCTGTGTTTTATAAAATGTATTTACATAATCTAGTAAACATGGGTATATGTTGTGCGGGAATATGTAGACCTCGTTTAAAGTGTATTAAACATACGACAACGTAAATATATGAAAAGTTCAAACAAAACACAAAAGTTTTCGTATGAAAACACTTGTATGTATATATTTTATATTAGAAATTCTTAATACAACGTTTGCCTATATCTACTTGAAAAAGATCGGGTGCCAAAAACAATATAAATTTTGTACTTATCAGTTTGGTTGTCACGAGCCTGAAACGTGCGTCTTGTTACTGTAACTTCAAGGAGCAAAAAGAGAAAGATTGACTTGCCCGCCTAATGTCTCGCCAGATTACGTGACTGTTATTATTATTATTATTATTATTATTATTATTATTATTATTATTCTCGTGAATATTTACAATTAATTTTTATTACTTTGCTTTGGGTCAAGAGGAGATAACATTTTTGTCTTTCGCTACATATACTTACTTTTACATTTGTATTGCTCTTTCAGATATCATTCTGAGCATAAATATAGCATTTCTTATTCCAGTGTCTTTGACGAAACAGCACTCTTCTTGTCTTATTTTTTGTTTAACTCTGTTACGTTCTATAAGTCAACAGAGTTTGGATAACTTTTCTTATGTGGCTCATTAGTCTGATTGTCCGATGGGATTCACATTTGTTTACATCTAGCTTCTTGGGCAATGTTATGAAAATGAATCTACTTAGACCTCTCGATATATATCCTCTGTCGTATATGTCATTTAATATGTTTGTAATTTTGTCAATGCTGAACGTTGAAAATGAAAAGAACAAAAAGAAAAACATTAGTTGGTTTTTCAAAACACTATATTTACTCTTATGGCTCACTTCCTATGTTCATGTTTTTACTTGCAAGCCGTAGTTCAACTCAACGAAATTCACTTAATTTTATTTATCTGCTTGTTTAAGCATGGAAAACCTACGAATAATAATAAAATAAAAACAAATGAAACATTGGCTTTTCCATAATAAAACGTTACTTGATAAAATATGAAATATTTTTCTAAAACTATAAATTGGAACTTAATTTCTTTTTAAGAAATTTTGATATATGATAACATTTTAGATAATAAAAAATATTTAACACTAATGCCACATATGCTTAAATCATTATTTCCATTTGAGAGGCTCTGTTTTTTTTCCTTTCTTTAAACAATAGATTGATATATTGCCCTTTATACGTTAATGTTCAGTATAAAACATTTTACATATTTTAAAGGATTGTTTATTTATTAGGAATCTAAGAGAGAAGTGGTTGGTTCTTTCGATAGTCACGTGATTAATCTCGCGGATGAGCAAAAACCTAACAGAAACACATTTTCAAGTTTCCCCTAAAGTTCAAGACATCGTCTGACCTGGCAAATTGCTTTACCGTAGAATGAAGAGAAAACCCAGACGTCGGTATGTTGGATCGGGCACCCAAATAGAACGCCAGATGCATTCGGGATGGTATTTACATGAAGATGGGTCCGCTGTTGTCAAACAAACTATTATTTTCGAGCACAAACGTAACTATAAGGTCACAAAGAAGGAATAAAAATACAATCGTCAACAAAAGTGCATGTTGAAGTTGAATGTAAATAATATCACGAGAAGGCTTTGTTTTCAAGAGTATACTTAAGAAAACATCTTTTTTTCTTTTGAGTAAAACGAATTCATGTAAAAGTTCCAATTTTTTTTTCATAATCAACCAAATATAACCATTTCTTTTCTAAAGGCTGTTATCTTGATTATTTCTAAATTCTGAAATGCCTACGTAAGACAGATATTTATGAGCCGACATACTTGTTTGCAACACCATCTAGCTTGTCTTATAACCACATCACGTTGAAAAACCGGTTCCCGTACGATCTCCGAAGTTAAGCAACGTCGAGCTTGGTCAGTACCTAAAGAGGTGACCGCTTGGGAATACCGGTAATAAAAGCTTGGATGTGTTGGTGGTATAACGGAAAACGGCTTGGAATTGTTAATCGCAGAGTCAAGTTCCAATTCCAGTTGGGTTCGTCATATTCACTTATATGTAGATAACCTTAGGAAAGGTAGGAAATTCAGGAATTCACCTCTTCTCTCCACCAGCTATGGGTTAATTAGTAATACTTGTATCACTAAATCATTATTATCTCGAAAAAAAAAATTCTTTCAATCTAAAAATATTTTCTAGGTTTAAATAACCTGCAAAGGGTTGATAAGCCGTAGAAAATGAATCAATGAAATACTAATTAACTACACAGGCATATCTTTCAGACTTATTTAAATTGTCTGGAATATAAATATATAGAAAGTTTCATGACCACAAAGTGAGGGATCAGTTTATATATTGTGGCACCTTGCATTATTAGAAATATTCATAGAAATATGATTTAATTTTTTCTTACTCGGTTTACTAAACAGGTTGTTGATTTTTTTTTAAAACGGAAAATAATTGAGTTGAAAATAATTCACTAAGATTGTACTTGGACGATCCTAAGGGAAGAAGAAGGAAGGGGAAAAAGAGAGGTCGAGAAATACAAAAAAAAAGCGGTCATTAACAAAAACACGAGTCAGAAAGATATCTTAGCTAGCATGTTGACCGAATTTTTTTAAGACAATTGGAAGAATAGAATTAGAAATAATAAAAAGAAAAGAAAGGGAAAAGACATGATATCAAAACGGGCCGCTTGATGAAAACCAGATATCGGTCAAAGCATCTAGCCTACTTTTGCGTGAAAAGACATCTTATCAATTTGGATAAAGAAAATTTTGGGAACAATGAAAACGAAATCTTAATCAAAGAAAAAAGTGTCTTTTTGGGTTGAGGGGAGTGACCGGTGGAACGGTATACAGATTCTGACCTGTTAAAAATTAGAACCCCCACATTGACGAGTGAAAGATGTTTTCAATTCAGATAAATTAAGATTTTCTGACTGCCGGGTCTGACACAAAACAAGAGGTGAAAATACGATTGTCTCAGATCACAGATGGCGACAATATTCTTTCCTGAAGTCACAACTAATTAGCGGCGGGCTGGTTGACAGAGCCCAGGTGAGAGAAAGCCAAGATTGTCATTTTTTCGTACGTGCAGAAAAGGCAAAATTGGATTTTGTTTTTTAAAAACAAGAACGATGTAACCACGCCCGAACGGAGGAGAAAGGATGCTCGATCAATAACAATTGGTCGGAAACGGTCACGTGGTCTGCAGAAAAGAAGAGGAAAGAAATGCCCGATCAGGAACCATTGGTCGAAAAACGGTCACCTGACATACGAGAGACTAAGAGATGGGTGTGCACCTCCCCACAAAAGGCACTGTGAGGAAGTAGGGTTGAAAACAATAGCGATAATGAGAAATCAAAAATAATGCGACTTTTGGAATTATCGAGAAAACCCCTGACGCCGACAGACCCACCCCAGTTTGTTGCGGCGTCAATAAAAAGCAGGACCCCAGTCGACAGAAATCAGTTGAGTTGAGAGTTGCAGCTGGACCGCGGGCAGGGATAGAGCCTGAACGCGGGCATCAGGCCCGATTCACTCGCCCTTTGCGGGCAAAAAGAATCCTCAGACAAGAAATCCTTCCAGCCCAAGTCGAAGACAGAAGAGTTCAACCCCGGACGGCAGCGAGAAGAGATCACCTCGGACGACAGAGAGTTGCGGCTGAGTTGCGGCAAGAGATCCTTCCAGCCCAAGTCGAAGACAAGAGAACTTCCAGCCTAAGTAGACGAAGGAGAAGAAATACAACTCAAGTCGAAGAAAGAATCAACTGCGAATGATCGATAGAAATTAGCCCCAGTGTCGAACCAAACCACACTCCGACATACACAATTCTAAAGAGTAGGCAATTCGAAATCTTTAGGTTGTGTGATAGAAGCTTAGTGCCATAGTCCACAGGGCGGGTCGGGAATTGAGAACAATTTTGTTTTTATGTAACGGACATTAAGATATAAAGGGTTGTTACCTTTTTTTTTTCATCAGCAATCTTTTGTCTCGTGAGTTTATTTTCTCTTTTATTTGTGTTTTGCCACCCCGTCGGACTCAACTTGTATCGGCCCCAATCCCTGCTGGTCCCGTCTGTCTAAAGATCTAAACACAGCGTGGGTAGACAGACCGGAGATCGGTACAGTTGCTTTAGTGACCAGGTATTGGAAGCGAGTCGGGAAAGGCGAGGCTGGTGATCATCTGACCAAGGGGTTGGAGCGGCACGCTTGGACCCAGGAGGAGCGACGTCACCGTTGGCGCCGTAACCAAAGGATCCGACCCTGGGCCAGGTGTGTAACCGTCACATGTGGTGCCGTGACCAACGGATCAACCCTGAGACAACCACGTCACATATGGTGCCGTGGTGACCGAGGATTTCAACCCTGAGAAGACCACGATCGACCGCCGTTGCTGAAAATTCAGACAGAACTCAGAACGACCCGGGACCAAAGGAAAAGAAAGAACAGAATCGTCTGTAAGGTAGGACACCTTGTTTTGTTTCCTAACCTCGATTGTTGCTGTATAGACTGTCTTTCTCTGTAGACATGTCAGATTGTGATTCGGATAGAGCAGTGGGGGGAAGAGAAGAAGTAGGGCGGGGGGTTGTCAGTGGATCTAAGGAAGCTGTTGGGTGGACCGAGGGTCCCAGTATTTGATGGCAGCGGAAGGAGTTTAAAAACTGGCTGGCAATCCTCGAGAAGAGCCGAACCATCTACGAGCTCTCGGACCAAGAAGCCCTGTATTTGGCATACGATGCCACAAAGGAAAAGCGTCTGAGTTCGTGAGGGGCTCTTGGAGAACCAACCCCTTGGCTTGGGAAGAAATAAAAGACTACTGACCAAAGAATTCGCCAACGAAGGTACGGCCATAAAACTAACACAGCTGCGGGATGAAACCCCGGGAGAATTAGGGGCCCGAGCAGGGGAAGCTATCGTCATTGGCATTCCCGAAGTGGTCAGGGATAATGCGGTTATGCAGGCCCAACTGGCGGACCTGTATGTAGAGGCGCTGAGCGACGAGCGTGTTCGTCACGACGTATTGAAAGAAGGACCGCTCAGACTGTCGGCAGCGATAGAGCTGGCCAGGGAGAGCCAGGGGTGTGGGATAAAGTGAAGAGGTGGGAAGAAGCAGATACCAAGTCAGGAGGCTGGAAGAAGGGGGTAGGCGGAAGAACCTCCGTGTGGAATCAGAGGGTTAAGGAAGAGGTGGATCGGGCAGAATTATGGGAGGAGGACCCCAATAGAAGGGCATGGTCGACCAGGCATGGCTTTTTATAAGCCCACGCCGGGTCGATACGGGCTGGTCTGCTGGACCTGTGGGTACGAGGACCACAGGGCGGCGGAATGTCCGACGAAGTGGGGTTGCCCCAGACTTCAATCAGGACAGATGCACCAGGTGTGGTAAGAAAGGACACCTGGCCAAGTGGTGCGGGCTGAGGAAGGGTGCCCCACCGATATTAACAAAGAAGGCTGAGCCCAAGAGACCGGCCCAGGGAAAAGCCAGCGGGCCACCCCAGAATTAAGAGGAGGGTGGCCCAGTTAAAAAGGAGAGAAATAAAAATTGGACCAGTGGGTGGGCGAACCGCTTGAATAGAGGACAGGTTCCCCGAGGATGAACAAGGCCAACCCAGTTAAAAAGGGAAAGAGCAAAATGTTGGACATGTGGTCGGGCGGGCCACTTTGCGGCAAGCTGTCCAGCAAGAAGGTGCTGGTTTTGCAGGAGGCCAGGACACCTGAAAAGAAACTGTATTCTTAGAAACGGCCATGGGAGACCGGGAGAGGTCCGGCCAGGGTCGCCCAGGTGCAGGGGCGCAGAACTCCACCTCATAAAAAAAATGAAGGTGATTTATTACTACCGGCGCCTATGGCTGGGTTAACCCAAAGGTGGGGACCCAGGAAGAAGAAAGCTCAGGTGTTCTCTTCGCTAACGCAAGAGAGAGAACTATCCTGTAGAGCAGAGATAGGTGGTAGAGAGATGAGGGCTTTGGTGGACACAGGAGCATCTGTGTCATTGATGAGAGAGGAGACATACAGGCGGGTGAAACGGAAGAGAAGGTTACGGGAAGCGGACATAGAGATCACGCAAGCAGATGGGGCCCCCCTGGAGATAAAAGGGATGGTGAGGCTCCCGGTGAGGATTGGGAGGGTGAAAAGCACCCAAAATTTTTACGTAACCCCCGACCTGTGTACGGAGGCAATCTTGGGAGAAGATTGGCTCCGGAGCCAGAGGGCCCAGATCGAGTTTAATCCTACTGTGTTGGTGGTGAACGGCGAGAGAACGCCATTGGGATGCCCACCAGAGGAAGAGATAACCATAGTGGTGGAGGAAGATGTAAAGTTACCTCCTAGGACCGCGGTGTCGGGAAAGGGTAGGCTAATGTCAGAAAAAAAGGTACGGAGAGGACCTCTGCAGTTGGTCCCTGTGGAGGGAGGGGGCCTAGAAGATAACGAGGTAACCCTATGCGAAACGGTAGTGGAGGCAGCCGAGTTGGTGCCCATAATGATGGTGAACCAGGCCCAAAAGACTATAAAGGTTAGGAGAGTGGAGAAGATAGGGAGAGCACTTCCCCTACGAACTCTGAATCGGGTGAGATTCGAGGAGGAACGAAGGAAGCTAGTAGAGCAAACAAAAGGAATCTTGGATGAGGATATATTAGCACCGGATCAATTTAGAACCAGAGTGGGGGTCTGTTAAGGAACAATAGAGATGTGGTAGCCCAGTCAGATAAGGAACTAGGTCAGACCCACACAGTCGAAATGAAAATCGACACCGGAGACCACCCCCTGTGAAATTAAAACCCTACCGAACACCTATACATAAAAGACCCCTTGTAGAAGAGGCAGTAGAGGAAATGTTGGAAGCTGGGATGATCGAAAGATCGATCTCTCCTTGGAGCTTCCCAATAGTAATAATAGGTAAGAAAGATGGCGGCCACCGTTTCTGTGTAGATTTTAGAAAGCTGAATTC